CACGGCGCTGGGTTTGGTCTCAGCAGCCGCACACGGCATCCGTCGCCGCCTGCATCTGACCTCCCGGCGTGCGGAATAGCTCTCGGCTCGGTCATTCAAAAGATGCGTAGGTGTAGGGAGTGGATTAGGGTTTCCTGTGGTTTTGTTTGTTTGTTTTTCTGTGTTCAGACCAGGTTTGTATTCCCGCTGAGTAGTTGTCAGCTCTGCACGTGGCCCCGGTTATTTCACACACACCTTGAGGGCAAGTTTCTGCCTCTGGACTCTCCAGAGTAGCATTTTAGCCTGTGGAATTGAGGCACAACAGAACCCAACTCAGAAAATAAATAAATAAATAAATACGTACGTACTTACATACACCATCACATACAATCACTGCTGATGTTGTTATCTCCAGGGCTTTAACGTGATGCAATTGTCATGGCGTTATCTCTCTTGTCTCTTAAGATGTGGCAAAGTGGAACGACCAAGCAGATGCGGTTCTTTGTACTGCTGGCTTTGTGGCCCATTATTGCTTGGAAATCCATAAAGTGGTGCTGTACCTCCCTGCCTGAGGTTTTCTGTGAGAGTAGCAGGTGTGCCCTCACAGTTTGGGGGTCCTTTACTGTCATCCAGGGTGCAGCTAGCGGTGTCCCGATGGCACCCTTAGCCAGCCTCAACAGCCCTTAGAGTTTATAGACTGAAAAGCAGAGCGTACAACTGTTTTAACAGCCTTTTTGTTGTTTATTTTGTAAAGGTTGACTCTTCTTAGTAAGGATGTGGCCTTAACAACTGAGATAAGAGTTGATGAAGGTAGGACAGATTATTTTTTTTCAGCGTGGGTTTTGTTTTTTTTCTGTGAACTCTTACTGTGGGTGTTGCCTGAGCCCATGTTATTTAAATTTAAGTGTTGCCTCAAGTTCATTGTTTTGAACCGCATGTGCTTTCTTACTATATCCATATTTTTAGCTTGTATTCTACAGAAATGTTCAGCACATTTTTAATATTTGGAAAATAGGTTTGCTCTTAATTTCTCAGTTCTTCATGTGTACTATAACTGAAAATACCTGGCTTGGGAAGTGTTTGAATTATATATAGGGATATACCATTTAGTTAGATATGTGCGTTGTGTTTGAGCAGAATAAAATAAATGGAATCTATAATAATGAACGTAAATGCATATATGCTCATTTAAAGCCTTAAAATTTTCCCTAATAACTCCCTTAGAGCATGTTGCATGAGCAAGCATATTATAGTTACATAATAGTTTTACTAGTGCCTCCATGTCATTTTTAGATAATCCATTTGACCTGTGTTCTGTACATTTTATTCTAGCAGTACAGAGATTACCTATTCTTTAAGCGACCCAAGGTGTTCTAAGTGTTTCTCCTGATTTTTTTTGTTTGTCTTTTTGCCAATTTGAAGACCTGACTCGACTATCCTTTTTTATCAGCCTACTCAGAATTAATATAAATGGCACATTGAAATCTGCAGAAACTTTTCCTATGGCTATGGTTTCCTGATGCTGGTACCTTTCATAGTGGCTCAGTATTTTTGTCTAAGGGAAGAAGCATCATCCCATTTTGAATTTACGTGTGGTTATCCACTGGAATTAAAACCTGGCAACATTTAACATATGTAGTTTACGGCATGTTCATTTGACTCATTGTTTCTGGAGAGAGGGTTTGTTTGACGGTTGGATGGGTTTTTTTTTGTTCTGTAAATGCAGCAGATCCTGGTATTTTTAGCATTCTGCCCATGCCATTTTGTATTCAGTAAGTTGGTGTTAATATTTCATTGTTCACATATTTAGGCATCTATGTGTAGTAGCAATTTGGTGATGAGATACGTAACATAAAGATTAATTTGGCAGATGTTTTATTATTGCCAGTAACAGCATTTTAGTTTGAAATCTAAGGGTTCAACCTCAAGTGTTTCTCTCATTTCTTTTTTCTTCCAGAGAGATGTTCTTCCTTTGCATAATTATTGGAGACATTAGAAACATTAGAGTATTCTGTATAGAAGTACAAATGGGTTTAGTCAAATGAATCAGGCAGCTTACCAAAATTGCAGATACTGGTTTAAGAAATAAGAGGAAAGAGTTAATCTCCAATAGGAATTCAGGGAGTGTTCCAGAACACTAAGTGAAATAAATTTTCCCCCCAGCTGCTTTTGCTAATTTCTGACTTGTCCCGTATTGCAATTTCAAATCCTGTTTACATAAACTGTTTAACTGCTAAAATCAATTGCACATCAGAAGCTTTGGAACATATACCTCAGTTACTGAGTTAGGTAAAAAAATTTATGGAGTTATGGGAAGTTATATAGAAATGAAGGCAGTCAAAACTTCCTCTAATTACTGTATTTTTCTTCTGTTTTTTTTTTTTTGTTTCTTTGTTTTTTTTTTTGTTTGTTTGTTTTTGGTTTTTTTTGGTGTTTTGGGATATGGTTTTTTTTGTGTTTGTTTTTTTTCCAGGAGCTCTCTCTCCAGAACTCTCTATTACGCCAGCACTTTATGATCACTCATACAGTTGCAACAGAGAACAGGTAAATCCAATAGGTATAGGAATGATACATCTTCTGATACATTTATCTATTGCTTATTAATAAACTCACTGGGTCTCCTGTTCTTTATGTGCAAAGGAGACTGGTGGCTTGCTGCTGAAACAAATTCTATGCCAAGACAGTTGTCATGTGTGCAGCACATCCTTTCCAGAAATTTATCACAGTCTTTTCCTTGGTAGTTCATGAGAGTATAACCTTTCACATTTGATGGACAAGCCCATGACAAAAATGAAGCATTCGTGATTTGCTGAAAGATAACCATCTGGGGTACCGTGCCCTCAATGTGAGATTAGCCATGATCCAGCAATTGGACAACTGCTTCTTTAAAAACGGAGGAGATAATAATCTAGAATCCAGAATAAAATACCTGTTTGTGTGATGACGGGGTAATTATTCTAATATCTGCATAACTGGATAATGTGCATACTTGGATAATTCTGCATTCCCTAATCTGCTCATTAGCCTACCTTTTAATATAGTTGCCGCAGTTGATAGCTAGCACATCAGCTCGTGTTCAGTTGAACCATCAGCTTTCCACCTGCATATGACATACTCATGAACAATTAGAAAAAAAAGAAGTTTCTGCTCTTTAACTGAGATTGGCTTAAAACCTGTGACTGCTACGATGTCTTTAGCACTGTGGTTCACCAATCCAAAGACCACTATCTATGTATCCTTATTCCAGCATAAGAGGCTCTTTTGAAAGAACTAAACTGCTTACTAGGTGACAAAAGGTACATCAAAAAAGAGGCACTCGTTCCACTAAAGTCAGTGTTTTTCCAGTGCATTACAGAATTGCAGATAAATTTGTCTCAACTGACAGTGCAGGAAGCAGTGAACAAAACCAAAAAGATGCTATTACTTCAAAGGTTTTTCTCCATAAAATTATTTTGCTGCGTGCGTGTTTCAGGTTTTTTCTTGACTGAAGTTGATCACATTTTTCTAAGGACAGAGGGAATGAGGAAGGTGCCCATTTGCTTTCTTCTTTTCTCACCTGAGAGATAATTGGACTATCTGCTGTTTAACCTAAGTCTTCAGCTTCACAGCTCTCACCTGAGTAGCCAGTCTGCAATCCCAGTAAGGATTTTTTCCAAGTCTAAAGACAAATCCCATGTATGCAAAAGGAAAAATCAGAAAAGCAAAGAAACCTAGTGCTTTTCACCAAATAATTTTGATAATTCGCATTTATTTCTTTTTTTAAGTGACACCTATGTAGCATGCCGCTGGTTTATTGGCCATGCATAGCATGGGGGCGGTATAAAATGTAAATCTTTACCGAACGCTGTAAAGAATGGTATTGGCCTGTCATCCTTGATACTTTCATGTGTGGATTGCACCAGTGTGGCTCTTCAGCCAGCTGGAGAGCTAACATGGAATATGCTTTACCTAGAAGCATTCCTTCTGCTGTGTCCTCAGAAATGATTTACATGAATACATCATCTTGATGCAATAGATGTGAGGGTTGTGCAGCACAGAGTGGCTGTGAATTTTGTGGGGAAATGTAGCGTCTGTTCCGGGTGTTCCAAAGTCTCTTGCTTTCTTTGTGCTTCAGATGGCTTGAGGGAGGTTTGGGTCATGGTGTTCTGTCTTTCATTCTGTCCTGTAAGAGATTGTAAGACTTTTCTTCCACCAGAGATGCGTAGGCAGATTTTGTAGGATTCAGGTTCTTTCCAACTGCCAGTTCAAGTTGTTTCCATTACTGTTGGTGATTAAAATAGCTTACTTGTAGCATATTAGAATTAATCATGAGATTGGCTAAAATCACAATGAATTACAATTTGTTTTCTCTTATATGTGGCATTGCTTACCGTAAGTAGCCAGGTTTACTGAAGCTTAGGCTCAGACTGTGGGCTTTTAACTAAGTACTGATGAGCTTAGGCTGAAGAAAGGCCCAGAATCCAATGCTAACTGAGAAAGATAAGATCAGCAGAAACTGGATCATTGAGATAGAGAAAAGGAATGACCCACCTGCAGAGACAGAAAGGATCCAATGAGGAACAAGAAGACCCCAGCCCTAAATATTACTAGTGGACTGAACCATCATGTAAGGGGAGGTGAACTTGTATTGTAAGGGTGTCATAAGTGAGAGTTTTCTGTGTTTTGAGTCTCTCTCAGGGAGTCCGACCTAGAGGTGAAGTAAACCGACTCTGTAGCAGAACCTGGGGTCTGAACTCTTCTCTACAGCTGGGGGCTAAGACTGGATCCAGCCACACCTAGACTCCTCTCCCTGATGAGGTTTAGAAAGCAAGGGGGTCTAGTCTGAACCTTACAACTGAGCAGAAGGGTCTTTGCAGATTCTTCAATTACAGCTACCTGTTAACACCTTATTCCATGGCTAGTTCAGGCAGGCCTCGCGATTGTAAGTTTATGCGTTCATCTTTTTTCTGACTTTTTTTACCTTGCCCTGTTTGGTGAAGTGCAGCTGAAGTTGTTAGGTGGCGTTTACAGCTTGTAAGCATTAGTCTTTTTTTGACACATATCCAGTCCCCTGAGATAGTTACCTGTATAAATAAATTCTTAAATGAGAGAAGTTGAATTTTGCAGGAATTCCCTTACTGAAAGCAAGAAGTTAGGACAAAAGGTTATTTCCACTACTTACAGTTAGTGGCCAGTTTTATGACCTTCCAACCAATGGGCAATACACTGATTTTGCTTAGAACCTAATTTTTTAGCTGACAAAATAACCCCTTCTTCTGGGATGTAACAGTAGTTCATTGAACTTTAAGCATCCATCTGAGCAATGTTAGGCAGTCAAAGAGGTTTAGGAGTTGTTCTGTGATCCTCCTGACCTTGCCTGGTCTCTGTATAATGTTCTGTGTAAATACCCAGGCTAATTCGTACAAGGAGTGTATTTAGCAAAGCCAATAACTTTTTGCCAGCTATTCCACTGCCATATTTTGGAACTACATCAGTAAATAACTGTTGCACAAACTATTTCTGAAGAATCTGTTCTGTTCCAGAGAGCCTTTCAGCAGCCCTTCCTGCTGGGCGATGTCTGCCTCTTGCTCTTCAAGTCATTGCTAAAATGGTTTTTCTGTTTGTGTTGCTAATACCTTGTGCAAGCCAAATAAGTCATCACTTGGTGTCCACACTAGATATTATTTCCTAAAGCTTTCGTAGTGCTGTGAATGTTCTCCACTGTATGTCAATGATTCGTTTAACCAGTGTTCTGAGAGTCCACTAGCCTTTGGCTCATCTGGAAGAGAACTATTCAGCAGTTCACTTGCCTACCTTAATCATTCATAGTTTGCCTTAGACTTTATGTAAAGGCTCTTTTTTCCATACCAGAAGAGATCTGTACCTTAAGTACAGCCAGAGGCGTAAAAAGGTGGATCCAATTTACTAAAGAGTTTGAATTCAGTTCCTACTCTGACATTAGTGCTCTCCTTACTCATGTGCCCTTTCCTGTGTCGGCATGTTGCAGCCCTGCACTTAGAGCTTGCTGATGTGCGGATCTTGTCAGCTATGTTCCCTAATTCTACCTTTTCCAGAGATATTGAGAGTTGTATACTAAATTCCACAGTCTTTGGAGCAGCACCTAATTAACAAAAAGAGATAAAAACTGGGAGTTGAAATAAAAATACTTTTGTGGTTTCGTCTTTTGATCTGTAAAACACCTGAAGCTTAAAACAATCATATTTTACTTGTATAGGTATGTTTTCCTTCTGGATGAGTCTTGTCTTCATAGTCTTGATTTATTTTCCAACATTTTTCTCAACTAGCAAAAAAAAGATGTTAAGTGAAATGGCGTCTGTATCTTAATTAGTAATGTATGTGAAGATTAGATGTAAAAATTCAGTTTCCCAGCACAGTTACAGAAGGGAGAAGATAAGCATGTAGTGAAGCTGAGAAAATAAATTAAGTACATTGTTTACTAACTTGTTAATTTTTTTTTCCATTCAGATGGCTCAAGAAGTGTATGAATCTGACCAGTCTCAGTCTCTACTGCAGTGAGTATCACACAGGAATTCCAGTCAGACATACTATGTTTAAACAATTCAGTTATGCCTCCATTTTTGTGTGAGTTTATTCTCAGTGTTTGATTGTAAAGCAGTTAGTGTTTGCTTAGTGAAAGATCTCTATTTATGTCAGAGGTAGTTTTGTGTCCAGTATGCTTCAAACTGCATCTGTATTTGTTTTCATTGATGATACTACCTTTAATGGCACAAGGACGTAAGCAACAGGAATGTCAGTGAACTATTCAAGGAAAACCGTTAGACAAATAAAGAAAAATATGTAATAAATATTAGAGCTTCTGTTCTTAGGAGCTATGAAAGCATTTCCGTAGAAAATTAATTCAGTTGGAGAATGAATGTACAAATGTAGCTGGGTCCGCTTAGGAAACTGGAAGTCTTAGTTATTGCATGTCCGTGTAAAGAGAAGTATGCCTCTAAAACAACTGCAATTGTTTCTGCAAATAATTATAAGTACAGAACTGCGTAAATAACCTCAGAGTACTGTAGAAATTCTCTTAAGATGGACAGATTACAACTATTTCTGAATAAGAACTTTTTACTCTATTATTTAATTCTAGGGGTTGGATAAGCTGTCCATCTCTTACCGAAAATATTTCTAAGCCTGTTTTTTCACTAAACATTGCAGTAAAGCAACAGCAGAATAATTCTGTAGGTATGTTATTTATGTAGGTATGTTTTTTACAAAGTTGAGAGTTGCTCTAGCTGTGTCAAAATCATCTGAGAAGCTGAAGATGAGTATCAATGTATGGTTTTTTACAATCTGACTATATGTGGCCATTAAAACAGTTAGTTTTTGTAGTTGTCTTGAATGACAAGTTATGTTTTCCTATGTATTCTGTTAGGATTGTCTGAAGTAGTAACTGTTTTCCCAAGCCAGTGGTTTCCAGCTCTAGATTATTTAATTGCTGAGGAGTTTTCTGATGAAAGTTTCAAGCCACATGTAACACTCAGGTACCATATGGATGTGTAGGGTAAGCATGGATCTAACATTTTGTTGAGGGTTCCTGCATGCTTCTTACTAATGTATGCAAGAATCAAGACATCTGTAAGAAAGGAAAAAAGAAAATGTTACTGGTTGTTCCCCAGATCTGTCTGTCAGCTGCTGCTACTTCAGTTATACTTCTGTTCCTCTGTGCAGGACTGCCCCATCGATTTTACTGTCTCTTTGTTTGAGCTAATTTTTGCTAACTCAATAGAAAACCATTCACTTTATTTCTGATTAGGAAATTCACAGGGAGTCACATGAATGTCAAAACACGCTGATGAGAGCAGGGGGGTTGGGACCAGCCCTTTTCAGAGGCAGTAAATTATGGGATTGTTTTAGCTTTATTGTGTAATTATAATTACAAAGGGCAGGGGGTAGGTCTCATCGTGTGGAGTGGGTGGCAGTTTCATCTGCTGATAGTCTCTGGAAATACAGGCCTCTAACTCACAGTGAAGAAATGTAACAAAATAGCCCTTGCTGAAAACATAATTGCCAGTTCCACTTAGAGAACGGGACCATAGTAATTATAAAGTGTTTAAAACTTTAGCCTTAATCAGAAGTGAGGCCATTTTATTAGAGATGATCAGAACTTTCAGAAGTGGCATTTAATAATAGTACAACTGAAATATTTGTTTCCTCTCCTAAATTTAGATATCAAGTTGGGTGGATTTCAGAAAGATTCAGAAGAAAAGGTTAGTGCGTTTTTACAGCTCAATGTATATAAAATATAATTTAATTTAAATTATTTAATTTAGATTTAGAGACTGTCTTACTGAAAAATGCCTGGTTGTTTCAGTTTAAAAAGCATGTACATAGCTATTGAAACTGACACTGAGTGCATTAGGTGAAAACAACTTAGGAGCTAACCTTTGTTTTCTGCTCTTTGGGTAGGAACTGCCATTATTAAGCTTGCAGGGCACAAGGGTAAAAGCACAGTAGTAGCAGTGAAATAAGAAAGTCACTAGCATGGCACAGAATCTACAGGGGCTGTTACTTAAGCTAAAGTGATTAAGACTTCTAGTAGCTTAAAACATGTTTCTCACGAATTAAAATTGTGGGAGAGGCATTAGGAAGATCTTTGAGGAGAAAAAGTATTTGTAACTGCCCTTCTATTTGGGAGCAATGACTTACTTCTGGCCAAAAAGAGGTAATACCATTCTCTGGTACATCTCCTAGGTAATTCTAAAGCTGCTTATGAGTGACAGATTTCAGTGCTGCTGAGATAAAAGTGAGGGAGTAGCTTCAGAGCTACCTTTTTTCCCATTTGTCTGCTCCTTTCTCAGCGATACAGAATCTTGGCAATGATTCCACTCCGTTGTGAGCTGATCTTGCAAGGTGCTGGGTCTTGCAAGGTGTCTGCTTGGGTCTCGCAAGGTGTCTTTGCCATGCATTTCTGCTGCTTTCTTTGGGCCAACACTAGCGCTTGTTTGACTCCTAGCATGAAGCAAGTTTTGGGTAACAACAGTCAGGTGCTGTTCAGGTTTTTTTTTGTTGGCTTCATTCTTCAGCCAGATTATCTTTTTAGTCCAGGTCCCCAGAAGGTAAGTGCCAGCACAGCAGAAGAGTGGAAATGTGGAAATGCACAGGTGAAGGCAAGTGAAACGACAGGGGCTGTACCGATACTGATGTAAATAAGCTTGATGCAATCTGAATGTTACAAGTGTAGGTCAGAAGTAATCTTGATTATTTTAGAAGTTCTCTGCTTGCAAACACTGATTTTGCATGTAGAAGAAAGAAAGCATTGGAGGGAAAAAGGAGTTCCCTGACATTCCAGAAAACACAGCAGCAAAAGTTGAACTATATATCCTTGTGAACAATCCAATCTAGAAGTACCTTGAGCAAGTGTTGAAGGTTCTGCAACCACGAGCATAAACTTCCAGTGGTCAAATGTTCCCTTGATTCGTCTCTGCTTCCCCTCTCTCCTTTTTCCTACTAGCACTCCCTCCATTTTCGATTTGCAGGCAGTGAAGCAAAAGCAGCAGTAAAGGACTTGAGCAGATTTCTCTCCAGTTAGTAGAGGAAGTGCTGGCAGCATTTCATTGAGGAGTTCTTGGCTTTTGCTTCTGTGTCATTGGTCTGTATCCTGTCATCTGCGATCATGATGTTACTTGTGTCTGCTCTCCAGCCTCTGCATTGTTATCTCCTTCTGTTGCCTCCCTTACGCACAGTGTCGTCTTTGTGCTTTTTGATTTTTAGTCTCAATTCATCCCTTACCAGTTCATTGGTTCCAGGTCTATGTATGCTTGATTAAAAAAACTCATTGAAGTGGCAGCTCTCTTGCAAAAAACACCCCTCCTATTATGAGCTCCTCTTGCAATGTCATGGACAGTTTTGAGAATTTCTGCAGTGCTACTGACATCAGCTGCGTGGATTCTACAGAAACAAGAGGTTCTTACTGGGTACACGTGATGCTGCCAGCTGCAGCTTCCCATTAACTTACAGAGGATAGCAGTGCCAGTATTTCTTCTCTGACATTCCATTGTGGGGCAATTTACAGCAATATACAGTGTAATTTCTGGAATAACTTGCTTAATGCAGAGTCCATAGTGATAATGACTGTTTCATCTACTGCCATAGATTAGTATCCAGAAAAAGTTAGAATTCTGTATAAATCAGTTTTACTTTCCTTTTTTTTCAGGAAGCTGATTAAGTTTAATGTTGGGGATGAAAAACAGCACTTGCTAAAATTCAGCCAACATAGATTTGAGACTAGCATGGCAAATTGTTCATGTCTTGTAGCAAATACAATTGATTACATGGTCAGGTATGCCTTGTACCAGAATAAAGGAAAAAATTAAATCCCCTAGGCTGTTCCTTTCCACAAAATGTACAACTGCCAATATACAACTATAATACCAAGTTTATTAAATGAAATATTCTCACTATACAGAATTAGTTAAGTAGAAAAAATCAAAATGCCTTGAAACAAAAATTACTTATGAATAATAGCCTCTGGAGAACAGGCAGACTGAATACATTGAGAGTATCTCCAGAGAGGATAGTTTAGGAACCTGGAATAAGAGAGGCATTTTGGCTGATGTTGGCACTGGCAAGATCTGAGTCCTGTGGGAAAACATCTTGTGAGAGAAGTCAGTGGGCATCAGGCTTTCATGTACTGATTTGAAAAAAGATCAAGACAGACACCTTGACAACCAGCACTGAGTCACTGGACATGTTAGTATTCTATATCTATTCTGAAAATACGAAAGAAATACAAGGGAAACCCGATCTCCTTCTATGACAAGGGTGACCTGCTTGTTGGATGCAGTAAAGGCTGTGGATGTTGTCTGCCTTGACTTTACTAAGGCCTTGACACTGTTGCCCACAGTGATCTCCTAGAGAAATTAACTGCTCTTGGCTTGAGTGGGCATGCGCTTCGCTGGGTGAAACACTGGTTAAATGGCCGAGTCCAAAGAGATGTGGTCAACAGAGTTAAAACCTGTTGGCAGCCGGTCACAAGTGGTGGCGCCCAAGGCTCAGTACCGAGGCCACTCCTGTTTAACATCTTCATCAGTGATTTGAATGAGGGGATCGAGTGCATGCTTAGCAAATTTGCAGATGACACCAAGCTGCTGGAAGTGTCGATCTGCTGGAGGGTAGGGAGGCTCTGCAGAGGGATCTAAATAGGCTAGATCACTGGGCCAAGGCCAGCTCAATGAAATTCAATAAGGCCACATGCCGGGTCCTGCACCTTGGCCACAACAACCCCCAGCAGTGCTACAGGCTTTTTGTTGAGAGGTTCGGCGAG